TATCGGTAGATAGATATCGGTAGATAGATATAGCGATATTGATATCGATAGAGGTAGATATAGACACAGATAGACAGACAGATAGATATAGACAGACAGATAGATATAGACACAGATAGACAGACAGATAGATATAGACAGACAGATACAGATAGATGGTTTTAGTGGAACTAGAGTTTTAGAATAATACATTTTAACCTTGCAATAATGTTTATGTTATGTTTAAAGTTACTTATAGGAATTTCTTTTATCTTTTTATCTTCAGTATTACCTTTGCAGTCACAACAATGTGAATTTCCCTGCTGAGGATGAATAAATACCTATTCTATTCTATTCTATTCTATTCTATTCTATTCTATTCTATTTGAGCTCCACTCAAAGATTTGGTCATCCAGATTTATTTGAGTTTATGGATCTTTAATTTAAAAAAAATTCAGCCTTGTATAAAAAGTTCTCAGAACTTTTCCCTACAACTGGCACCAGAAAAATGTCAGTTAAATTGAGTTACATTTTAAAAATGCCAATATCAAAAATTTCAGGCACTTCATACATTTTTATGTCTAATAATGCTACAAATGTCCACTGAGAACGCACCTGTTGTCAGCAAAGGTCAAGCTGAACTCTGGAGGACCAATAAAACTTTGAGAATCCTGCAAATTACTTCTTGGTTGATCAAAATGTGGAAGTTCTCCAGAGACATCCTCCTCGTCTTGATTTGCTCATCGGTGTGTGAGTTGTAGATGAACAAATGTGATTTATGTCAAATGTGTGTTTGTGGGAATAAGGTGACTTGAATCTAAAATCACTTTATACGTGTGGATTGTTTATTACTCAAGATGTGTGTAAATCAGCGTCTAATGAAGGTGGGTGTATATTTAAGCCCATTTCTGTAAAATAATGAAGGATTAAGAGATTATTTAGACTGCAGTGAGGAAAGGTATGCTTAAACAGAAAAGGGTTTAGATTTTAGGGGAACCAAAATTACTGTTCAGTCTTTTATCAAATTATCTGTAAAAAAGGGCAGAAAAACAGGGAAATGATCCAAAACTCACCAGAAGATCCACAAAATACCAGAACTCTTGCTGGATGTTTTGTCTCGACACTCACACGTCCTCAGCTTAAATAAATTTGTGAATAAAATTCTCAAAACACAAATTGCTACAAAAGCATTTTTATCAACGTTGATGGTTGCTCAGACTCTTTAACGCTTTTGTTGTAGTGAAACCACAGATTGGTAATAAAACCACAATCTTGATATAAATGTTTAGCGTTCTCTACTTGAGGAGTTGGACTACCTTTAACTTGAAGTATTCAGTAAATAAAGCGTTCCTAAATGTTTGCATGCAGCTGTGCTTCAGTCCTGTAGTTTGTTGTAGTTCACCTGAGCCTCACCAACACTGGACCTTTGGTTCAGCGCTCGGCTCATCCTGACCCTTTGCTCGTTTCTCCTTTTGTCTTCTGATTCTTCAGGGCTCACAGACCTTCAGTCAGCAGACCTCCACCAGGAGGAGGACGACCCAAGCCAGCGCCCAAACCCAAACCCCACGTGCCCCAGTGCAAAGCTCTGTACGCCTACGACGCTCAGGACACAGACGAGCTCAGCTTCAACGCTGAAGACGTCATCGACATCATCAAAGAGGGTAAGTGTGGAAAACACTGGTAACTTACATCTTTATACATGTACGGTAGTCCCTCGTTTATCACGGGGGAGCCGTACCCTGAAGACCGCGATAAGTGAAAAACCGCAAAGTAGGAATAGTAGTACAAGTAGTAAGTAGGAGTTTATTTATATATATATATATAAATAAATATATATAAAAGGTGTTTTAAACCCTCCCCACATTCTTGCAGTATTCTACACAATGTTTCTAAACTCTAAAGCTCTAAAAGAGCACAGAATGTCATGACTTCAGCTCCCTGCCTCCTCTGCTCTTTGCCGCCTGCAAACGCTCTTGGCCACGCCCACTTCTCAGTTCTGCAGTGAGAACAGCTGATCAGCTGCAGCAGGAAGTTTATCCTGCAGCATGGGCTGCACAGATGTGCAGCAGGTGCTAAATAATTTTACATAATTTGTTTTAAATTAAAAAAATCCATGCCGATCGTGCGGCTCATCCATCAGTCAGCCAGTTGTGCGTCATGTCCAATCTTATTTTGGAAAAACCGCGAAGTAGCGAGGGACTACTGTATTTTATTTATTTTTTTAAACTGAACACTGATGCAGTGATGTTTGTTGAGCAGATGCGTCCGGGTGGTGGACGGGACGACTCCGAGGGAAGCAGGGTCTTTTCCCCAACAACTACGTCACCAAGATCTAGGATGTTTTCAGTCTGAGTGAAGCCTCGTGTCCCCACTGACCCCTCTGAGGACCGGACGGAGCCTACGGCTGGAGACGGACTCTGTGAGACTCTTCTACTACTGCCTTATGCCAAACAAATGTAACTGTCGGTTACACCAGCAGACCAAACGTCCGTCAGGCTCCAAATCAGGCGCTTTTCCACAGACGAGGAGACCGTTGGGGCCCCGGGGGTCCATTTCTCTCCACAGTCCCTTTGAGTACTGAACAAACTATTTATTGTATTTATAGATTTCTGTATTCTCCTTTTTACTTTCTTTATTATATCTTGCTGAGGATGGAGGCATTGGAAGGAAATCTGCTAACTCTCTGGGACCAGGCTGTGATTTTTAATCTCGACGTTTTGCTTTTTAGTTGCGAACGTCGTCGTGTTGAAACCGAAGGGACTTCTATTATAACAGGAATATTTATTTTTTATGAAAAACTCAACTATAGGAACAGACACTCGATGAATCACGGATTAAAGAAAAGATTTTTGAGTATCAAAGCAACTATTCTCCAAGTGTGCTCTGAAAACGAAGGGGTGTTGCGGTCATGTGGGGGATCTCTTGGAAACCCCGTCGCCTGGATTTTTATTGTTTGTGTTCTTTTGTGACGCCAGAATCTTTCAGATGGTGCGTCCTGTAACTGGAGCATGCCGTCGATGGTGTATTAGCACTTTATCGGTACAGGTACTACCTTGGACACGGACACCATCGCTCGTTTAATCTAGAGGACAGAATGCGATGTGACCAGACGAATTACTGAGAATAATTTGTTTACATGAGGTGAAAGAAAACAGGCATGTGTAGGTCCAACTCTGTATATCTGTTAATTTGTAGGAATATGCCTGTTTTTGAGTAGAACTTGAATTATTTTTAAATTATCTGAAAAACATTTGAAACTTTTTGCCCCATAAACCCACAGCCTGCAGCTTTAGAAGGTTCGTCGCAATCTGGGGTGAGAACGGACTTTTGTTTGGTCATTTGGGAAAAAACTGTTGCAGAACTTCCACATTTTTACTTTATTTTTGAGTCACATGACCACATTACGCTGTAGCCGGGAAAAACTGCTGGGACTTCTGTCATTGAACTGCAACAATAAATTTAGAACACCTCCTTGTGCAATACACCCACCAGTAGCAGAGTATTTTAATAAAGCTTGTACCAGTAATATTGTATATGTAATTGTCTTTTCTTTGTTCTAGAAGCACTGAAACGTTTATTATCCTGATCACAAATTAAATATCATGCCATATGAAGGATGACGTGAAACATTCATCCCTGTGCAATAAGGCTTTAAAGGCAGGTTTAAAGATTTCCTTTATTGGCTTCATTACTTGGACCTAGAGGTCTTGATTTACAGGTTATGGTTCAACATTTTTCTCCTGTTTGAATAAAAAGTTTTATAATAAACTTTTTATATCCCATCATATATCCTTCAGTATGATCTTAAATAAACTGTTGTTTTCTGGCAAAAACAAAAAAAAAAAGTTTGGATAAGCACCATGATTTCTGTACGTCTGTTTCTAACGAGAAAACCTAAAATAACAGGCGTCTAATTTTAGAATATTTGCATTTCTTGTGCATATTTTATTGAACAAATTCAATAAACATGCAAGCACATGGAAATTGGATGTTTTTGCGTTCTTGTTCTGGGAAAAAGATGTTCGTGCCTCTTCTCTTCCTGTTAAATTAGACAAATTGATGCATTTCTTTGTCCAGTTAAATAAAACTTCATGTTTTCAGAGTAAAATAAAAGCAGGAACTGAATGCATCATCTATGCACAGAGAATGTATTTTAAGTCAACTTCAGACACATTTGCTTTCAAAATGAGTTCAACAAGAATTAAATTTTTATTAAAGTGAATGAACGACACCCGGGGGGCACATCCTGACATCATGAAGCCCAAGGAGGTGCAATATTTCTCCTTTAAAAGGTCGCTTAATATTTGATTTCTCACTAGCTGAGTTACCAAATTACATGAATGATGTTGTGATGCAGTTTAGATCAAACTCAAAGAGTTTACAGCAGCTCATGTGGTTCCTCGAAACAAACAGAAATGCAAATCATAAAACTCCAACTGTACAAAATGCAAGTTTTTTATATTCCTAACCGGTCGTGCACTTCTACAGTGCAAGTTTTACCCAAAGGATCAATCTATTGGTGAGTCCACAAGATGCACATCGCCCATTAAAATCTGTTGCACCCTGTTCACTTGTGGCTTAACTCAGTGCTTTTCAAAGTGGGAGCCAACAACATTAACAAAAAAAAAATTACTGTAATAAAATCAAATATATTTCAACTATTATTTTAAAATACATTTTATAATGTATTGAAATATCTTTGTGATTGGCTGCCGGTCCAATGTGTCAAACTGTTACTCTTCAAACATAGCAAGGATGAAATGAAGTTTCTAAAGCGACAGAAGGAACCGACCAGCAGCTCTGCTGCGGTGGAAACTGCTGCAACAAACAAACAAACTCACGGCAGCTAAAATTCAAAGGTACGAGGAAGCAAACATTAAGTGTGGCTTTACAGTCGTACAGAAAAATGGCCACGATTGCCTGAAATGTGTCCTCTGCCTGGAGACCTTCGCAAACGAGTTTAAAACCTTCAAAACTTCAGCGCCACTTGAGCGGGAATACAAGAGTTTAAAACGTTAACATTTTTATGCTCAGCAGCTAATAATTGAATATAGTGAATAAAAGTTAAAACATTCTAAACGTTTTTGTTTCTTTGCATATTTTGTAGCATTGTGGGTTTGCGATGGGGGCCTCAGGCAGAATGCGGTTTGGGGAGGGGCATGGCATGGAAAAGTTTGGGAACCCCTGGCTTAACTTGTTAAAAATGGGTAAGAATTAAAAACTTGCAACATTTCTCACTACAACATTTTTTAATTTGTGGGAAACGAAACCGAAGCGTAAAACACTAATAACCATCGATTAGAGCGTTTTATAAAAACAGTATTTTCAGTGAGGAATAAACGTGTCCTTTGTTTTTACCCTCTTCTTCATTTGCGCGTCATGGTGGTCTGTGGTGGCCACGTCCAGCCGTCACTGCGGGAGGCGGGGGACACCCTGGACAGGTCGCATGTCCATCACAGGGACGCTCACTCACACCTGGGGGCAGTTTAGTTACCAACTGAAACCGGAGTACCCGGAGAAAACTTGTGCACGCATGGAGAGAATATGCACAGTCAGACCAGGATTCGATCCAGCAACCTTGTTGACGAGGCGTCGGCTCTACCATCTGCGCCACCGTGCAGTTTTTTGCAGCAGCTTGCACAAAGCACACCGTAATTCAAATGCAACTCGTTTGGAAAAAAAAAAAAATCCTTGATCCTCGCTAACAAACACGTGGTTCTCAAAAGTGGACGTCAAAAAAAGGACTCGACAAGTGTTATCCAAGTTTATTAATATTTTCAAAACTAATATAAATCCCACATAATATAATCCTGGTGCCTTACGTCAATGAATGCATGGATACCTGCTTTAAGTACTGCATTTCAACACTCAGTTCAGTATTTATTCTTTTTTATAATCCGGGTGGACACATGGCCTCAGCGCACGGCTCATGTACTATAATTCTACTTCTTTCTCTCTTGTGCAAGTCTATGCGAGGGAGTTGTTCAACAGCATTAGTGTTTGTTTTTTTTTAATTTCCTTCCTTTCTTTCCGGAGCGTCCGAAACGGACACGTTTGCTCGTTTATAGACAAAACTGGGGATAAATTGGTTTAAGTGAAAACAAATAGTAAACATCAATCACAACTTGAACTGTGCGTGTCCCTCTGAGCACACAGATTAAAAAAAAAAAAAAAAAAAAAGACACCGCCGTCAGTATCAAATGCACACGAGTTTGCAAGCTCGTGAAATCTCTTAAACACACGCAGGCCTGAGATCCTCGCACAGCGTCGCACGTCTCTCTGCGGAGAGAAAAGATTCACAGCAGTTCCCGACAACCGCTCAGTTTTTGAAAGAACAGTCAGTAGAGGAGGGGCGACGTTCTTTTCCTTGCTCCCTAAATTACACAAGATGGTGACAACAGTGTCGTAGTCGAACGAAGGTGCAGGGGGGAGGTGTGGTCGTAGCAAAGCATGTGCACATTCTGGGAGTGAGGTGAACAATGGAGTTTATTTTCCACTCTAGAAATACTGGGTGTGCACAAATACAGCAGCTGATCCGTTAACATGTTTCCCTAATTAGGAATGTCTTGATTTTTACTTAAAAACATCTTTCACTAACAATCCACATCTGCTAAACAAAAAAAAAACTAATCAATACGATGATCGGTAAAATTAATCCTGCAAAGTTTTTTTTCTTTCTTTAATCCAAAAGAATAAAATCCTGGAGGTTGTTGACATTGTATTCTAGTAAAGCAAGGCATTAATTAGGTTTACAGAAATGCATCTTTACTAGAGCAGCTCCCTCACCGGCGGCAACTTGCTGGGCCATTTCTTAGCCCAAGTTATATGTGCAAAGAAATGCGTCGCAAGGAAACATGCAGGGAAACGAAACAGAAATGACACTTCAGGAAACAATCAAAAGCTACATAAAAGCTTTATAAATACAATAAAATCTTAAAATCCTTAATGGACAAATCTAGCTGTTGTAATATGAGAGAGCTGGCACTCTAGGCTCAATGCTTTTTTAAAATTTCATCTTTTTTTTGTTTGTTTTATTTTCCTGTGGTAGAGCTGCGCAGGTAATTCATGCCATCTTTGGTTGACTGCAGTACTGAGGAGAAAATTAACATGATTGTAAAATAAATTCTGAACAAACGCAAGTTGTTGAAAAACGGCATCAACTCTCGGCAGACAGCTGCGCCTCAATGTCCACTCTGCAGATGGGGCACTTCTTGTTGGTGAGCAGCCACTGATCCACGCACAGCTGGTGGAAGAGGTGCATGCACGGCAGGCGCCTGCAGGGAAACAGACGACGGAGACGCTCTCTCAAAATCAACGTCACGTTTCCTCGGAACGTTGCAGAAACCGTTTACGACAAACGGGATTCAACGACGAGCAGAACTCGCCGCGTTTGATTTGTACATTTTCAAATATTTCAGCAGAAAACTGTTCGTACCCCCGTTGAGGTCTGATGATCAGAGCCAGTAAATAATAAGTTTAGACTTCCAAAAACTAAACTAGAAAAAAACACAACATTTGAAAAAATGGAATTACATGAAGCCAAAGTGGAAGTAGTGTTTGCTTTTTATTAACAACATAGAACAGAACAATGTACAGTAACATATATTTATTGGATCCCTCATGAAAATGAGTTTTATTTTATTTTGGATTCTCAATTAAAATACAACTGAACAAACAGTACACGGACCCCACACCCTTCACGAGAGTTTGTATTTGTATCTTCTGACTGTACATCGTTCTGTTGTTCCATGTTGTTAATAAAATATATATAATAATAATAGAAAAACACCACTTCCACTTTGACTTAATGCAATTCATTTTTTTAATGTCGTTCATTTACACGTCAGGGCCTCCGCACGTTTCTGATTAAAACCCTTCATTTCTTTCCAGCAGGGCTCAACCAGCAACATAATGTTTCCATCTTATTAGGCCGTCTAGTGCTGAATATAAAACCAATTGTTTTTTGGTGTTTGCGACAACTAATATAAGTTTAGTTAAAGCTGAAAGCGTTCATGAAGCAAAAAAAAAAAAAAGTGTTTTAGATTAAAATCTTTACGACTCCTGTTTCAGTTGTTTGGTTTTATACAATGTAAACTTTTTTAAATCAAGTTTGCGCTTGAAATAAACTAATGAATTGGTTAATAATAAAATATAACTGATATTAAACTATACATTCAAAACAACTTTAAATTTAAAGCCCCTTCCTGCCAACAGAGGGCAGAATCTCATCTTAAAAAAACCTGAGCTTTTGCCAAAAACCAACTCCATCCGGCTGGAAAAATGAGGCACTCTGGGATTTTCTGCTGATTACTAAAAGTCCTTTGGGTTTTTATTTATTTTTTTTTTAAGAAAAAAAAAAAAAATTCCCACAAGATGGTGGCAATTTGAAACAAGTGCACCTGTGATCCACCTGTGTTTGGAGGTCCACAGACGCACCTGCTGAACGCATAATTTAACACAGCGACGACTGTAAGCAACAGGAGCGCCCAGGAGGCGTGACGTTTACCTGACGTCCTCCCCCTCCTCCAGTATCGACAAACAGATGGTGCATTTTTCTTCCGTGTCTTCATCTGCTCCCTCGTCTTCGTCTTGCTTACCGTGCAGCTTTCTCTGTTTTAGAGAAACATTAGAGAAAACACGACTTTTAAAACACAGCCGAGTCGTTCAGCAGAATCCTTACTCAATAATTATATACTTTCACACAATCGGCTACGTCAATATAGTAACGCTACAAATATATACGACGTGTGTAAAAATACATGACATTACCCCCAAAATAAGGAACTATGTTTAGAGAAACATTTCATTAAAACAAACTTAAAATTTGGGAACAGAGAGAATGGTCATTTTGTCCTGAAACAAACAAACAAACAAAATGTTTCTGCCATTTAAAAAAAATAAACAAATCAAAGTCATTTACATCAAATACAAGCCGAATTTCCCAGCCCCCAGAAATATTACTAACATCTAATATACACGTGAGCAGAGACATGTTTCCAAATTGAATTGTTTGGTTTTTTTCTCACCGATTCTGAGGTTGCGTGCATATTTTTCCCAATAGATGCCCAAGCTTCAGGGGTTAACTGTTGGTCAATGTCTCTCTCCAACACCTTCTGTATTGGGTGGCAGGGTGTGAGATTGCTTGCTTCGAAACATTTGAAAACCTCTAAGGAAACTTTTCCCCACAACAATATCTTCACAGCTGCAATCTCTGGTAAAAGACACTACAGGATTTTCTAAATGTCAACATCAGATGTTTTAAATGAGCACAAAAGACCAATGCGCACTCTGTCCCAGAAAAAGCAGCAACATATATGCAACTACATCCAACACCTTGAATTTCTGTGATTCAGCAGTGCAGCAAACGCACTGTGCTCACCTTTTTGTACTTGTGTGGGTAGGTGCACCTCTCTATGGTTCCCTGAGAGGCCCCTCTGTTCACAGTCCCCAGTCTTTCTTCTAAATGTAGCAGGTCCTGGGGAAAGACAGGAAAAAAAACATTTTCAGGCTAAAAAATACACAAACTCTACCTCTGTAAAAAAATAAAGTTCCTCCTGCAGGTCTGCTGATTTTTTACAAAATCAAAAACAAATTTCAGCAACTTTCTAAATGACTTGCGTCACCTAGTTCCTAAAACCTTCTACTCCCATTTTCATTCAGTCACTTGACGTCATTCCTTCACAAACTGCGAGGAACGACGTGAACGGTCTACGACACACCACTTCACGGTGCACGTCAGATGAAATTACACGTCTAAGACGGATGTTTGAGTCTAAAAAAGTTAAGTCTGGTCCTCCGGACATTCAAAAAACAAAACAAAACAAACAAACAAAATGTTTTGGTGTGGATGTTTTAGTCATTTCACATCGTGTACACTGACAAAGACGGAGTTCTGCCTTGTACTTTTACCATAAACTAAACCGTTTGTCTGAGAACAGCACATAAAGGCTTAAAGGGTAGAAAAATGGGAGACCACACATTAGAGCCGTCATTTCTAACCCGGGCCCGAAGCCCGGCCCAAATTCGAGTCGGGCCATAATAATGTGTGCGCAGGCCGGGTCTGTGTCGGGCTTTTGATTGCGTCATCAAAGCGGATCAGCCGCGATCCAATTATATTGCAACATGGCTTGCCGTAAAATCCAATTATACCGCAACATGGCTTGCCATCCATCCATCCATCGATTTTCTTCCACTTATCCGGGGTCGGGTTGCGGGGTAGCAGCCTAAATAGGGAGGCCCAGACTTCCCTCTCCTCAGCCACTTGGTCCAGCTCTTCCAGGGGAATCCCGAGGCGTTCCCAGGCCAGCTGATAAACACAGTCCCTCCAGCGTGTCCTGGGTCTTCCTCTGGGCCTCCTTCCAGTGGGACGTGCCCGAAACACCTCACCAGGGAGGCGTCCAGGAGGCATCCTAACCAGATGCCCGAGCCACCTCAACTGGCTCCTCTCGACGTGGAGAAGCAGCGGCTCTACTCTGAGTCCCTCCTGGATGATCGAGCTTCTCACCCTGTCTCTAAGGGAGAGCCCAGACACCCTGCGGAGAAAACTCATTTCGGCCGTTTGTATCCGAGATCTCGTTCTTTCGGTCACAACCCAAAGCTCATGACCATAGATGAGGGTGGGAACGTAAATCGATTTGTAAATTGAGAGCTTCGCTTTTTGACTCAGCTCTCTCTTCACCACGACAGACCGGTGCAGCGTCCGCTTCACTGCAGACGCTGCACCTATCCGCCTATCGATCTCTCGCTCCATTTTTTCCCCATTCGCGAACAAGACCCTGAGATACTTGAACTCCTCCACTTGGGCAGGATCTCCTCCACAACCCGGAGAGGGCACTCTATCCTTTTCCAGCTCAAGACCATGGCCTCGGATTTGGAGGAACTGATCCTCACCCCGGCCGCGTCACACTCGGCTGCAAACCGCTCCAGTGAAAGCTGCAGATCACGACCTGATGAAGCCAATAGGACCACATCACCTGCCAAAAACAGAGAAGCGATCCTAAGGCCACCAAAACGGATCCCCTCAACACCTTGCTTTGCCACAAAATCCAATTATATGGCAACATGGCTTGACATACCTTCACCAGCCACACACGGCCATTTCACCACGAGCTGACCGGCTTTGAAAGAGGTAAAATAAAGTTCAGTTAAGCTTCAGATGGAACTTTACTGCCAGGCAGCGTTCCGTCGTCCAAATAGACGTTCATTCAGCCGCTGCACTCGGTGGACGTGCGCGGTCGACGACTCAAACAGGTGAGATCCCAAAGCAGACATGTCAGAGCAGTGTCCGTGTCTGAATAATGCAGAATGCAGGCAGAAGCAGGGATTTAATGTGCGCTCTGATCTTCTGCCCCTTTTATTCAGCCGCACTCGTCCGCTGACCCTTCATAACTATAAAAGCAGTCAAGGCTTAATTAAAAATGTCCGGGGGTGGGGGGTGGTCACCTGTAATTACCGTTAATTCATCAGGCCAGGTGGGGTTCGGAAACGATGGCTACGAGCTGGGTCGGATCTGATTTTTTGGGCCCAAATGCAACTCAACCACGTGTTCAGAATGTTATGAGATCATGAACATAATACGCTTTAAAATCACTGTGAGTTTTTCTATTATGCTATAATGATATTTGATCCCAGTCCTGATCCTAATCTGTAAAACCATGGAACTGAAAAACCATGTGCTTATTTTTAAACACGACCATAAGCATGGTAATTTGAAAATGCGAAAGACACTGATGAACCACATCATTAGAAGAAACCAAATCAAATTATGAAGCAAGCAAAGGTTATAGCAGCATCACGTTCTAGTATGCAGTATCTGTTATCGCTGATAACTGAATCAAGACGCTGTTGACCTTGAAGATTACAGTCATGAATCACATGCACACAAATTAAATTACTATACACCCAACTGGAAGCTGCTTTTACATAAAATATTCATGTTTTTTTGTTTTATATTTCTCAGCATTCTGGAGTTTTTCCACCTCAAGGCCACTCTAATATGGACGGTAAAAGTTCGTGTGTAAAAACAGCAACTTTTGAATTGAAGTTAAAACGTCTGACAAGTTCTAATAAAAATAATAATAGTTTGGTAAATTATACCAGCCATGAAAGAGTTGTCAGTAACAATGGCAGTGATGAGTGAAGCGCTCACCTCGTAGGTTCTTTCAAAGCCAGTCATTCTAGATGAGATGTACCTAATGTGCGGGTAGGTCACTTCAGAAATGCCAGTGTGCTGTGAGGAAATAGGCAGTGTAGCACAACACATTACTATTAAACCCTGGATACAGTTTGAAAGCTGTATTGTGGAGAAGACATGCATAACTTGGGACACTTTAGTCAATTTAAAAACACGTGAAAATGCCCATTGTTTAAAATTTCTGGTCATGATGTGCTGGTGGCGATTCTAAAACTGAATCTAATCTTGAAAAAAAATAATGTCATTTTAAAACAAAGTGCGCTCATGGCAACAATGTATCGCTGAAGGTCACAGACGTATACATAATAAAACTAATGAATACCATCACAAAGATGCAAACTAAACATGCACTGGATGTGCGAGTCAAGGATGGAGGATTCGTTGAGTGTGCACTTGAAATGCTTGATGAGCCTCTGGTAATTGCTGCTGAATTATTCATGTGGTGCTCAAAAGCATCCTTGAGATAACTCGCGTTGTAAATAAGGGGTCGGCACAACTAATCTCAGATAGACTTTGCATCACGCAAGTGTGAGCGTGTGGAGTTTCTCTAACCATGATGGAGATGGGGAAATGGTGCAGTCTTGGGGGAGCATGATAGTGGGGCAGGTGGGGGTGCAGATGCCCTGAAGTGTACGGCACCACCGGAACACCAGCCTCGATGCCGAGCTCCCTGTCAACAAACAGTAATAAGTCGTTAATACATCAACCAGATTTGATTAAATCTCTGTTAAAAACATAAAAACTGTAGTAGCTCCAAACGTTTTTATTCTTAAATTAAATACGATGATCAGTTGGAATAACAGCAAAATAATTCTCAAAACGGACCATGTTGTTCTCTGCTCAGGCTGCCGAGGATGGGAAGACATAGTTTGTGGCACGTGGATGTGGTGTCCGTGGCCGTAGTTGGGGTGCATCCTGTGAGGGTGTGGGGGCGGACGCTCATGTGCTCGCCTGCAAAAAGGAACCAAACACATGTTCCACATACAAAGTTCTACTTTTATTTTTTTAAACGCCAAGATGCTGATGCTCACGTGGGGTGCTGCATCATCCGCCGCCTCTGAACCTCCATCCTCTGCAGCATCTCGTGCTGATGGAGCCGCTGCACCGAAGGCCCCAGAGGTGGCAGGTGGTGCGGCAGGGTCTGGTGGTCCGTAGAAAGGTGCTGGGCAAGCGGGGCGCTTGAGTTGGAGAGGTGGTGGGAAGACAGAGGAGGGGGAGGGGCAGGGGTCACGGCGTGGCCTGGCGGGTGGGATGACAGTGGCGTATGGAAGTTGTGGGGAATGAGAAATTCTCCCTGTGGAGGAGGCTGAGCGGAAAGTTGGGGGTTCCCATGGGAATGAGGGCAGGCAGAGGAGGGCTGATGATGCAGCGATCGTGTTAGAGAGCCGTCTGGAAATAAAATTTTAGAAAAAATTAAACGGGTTTTGTTTGATTCTGACAGAAGCTTGCAAAGTGTAACACAATTGTTTCTGTTAAAAAGAAAACCTTAAAGAATTAACGTTTATATTCTCTTTCTTTAATAAAAATTACTAATTATGAAGGTAGGTGCTTAAGGCGTTGACTAAAAATAAACTGCAGTGTTGATGGCTGGTGTAAATAAATATATCAGGCTTTTACATTTTTATTTTTATTTTCTGCCACAAATGCTCAATGGCAGAGAAATTAGACCATCAACATGCATACTTATATTATTTTAATACAATATTTAGAAACGGCTTCAATTATCAAATGAAAATATTTATTTGCAACAATTTTTGAACATGTTTTTATTTAAAAATCGCATTTTGTCAAAGACAGTTGGGTAAGCTCTGACGAGACGTTCATTAAACGTTTGCTGTTTTTGGTGTAAACTTTACTGCCACCTTTTATAGCCGCAGTAAAAAGAGCAGCAGCAAAGCAGCGGCACCAACAGACACGAGCTCTTCCTACACGAGGGAGTCTCGTCACAGACTCGCTCTCCATTCTAAATTATTCTGAGCACCAATTAACTTCTTCTGCCTGGAGCAGCTCCCACCTCAGTTGGGACATTAAACACCAGTCCGTTAATTACTATTAGCATTAGGTTTTAGGAATGTGTGTTTGACTGTTAATAACAATGACAATAAATATGCATAGTTTAAAAAAAGATGCCTGAAATTCTAAGAGCAATGAATGTCTGGTTTACTTACAGGATGGGTGCATGTAATGTCTGCAGGGCTGGGGTTGCGTTTGTGGCTGAGCCACCATGGAGGAGCCAAATGAGTCCACTACGGCCGGTTGGCTGGGCCCAGGGGTGGCATGTGAAACATAAGCAGGAGGCCGTGAGGTGGAGCCTGGGCAGCAGGGGTCAAAGGCTGAAGTGCTGCCATGGAAACTAGCCCCACTGGTTCCACTGCTTCGAACACTGCTGTTGCTCAGATCTACTGGCAGCGTTTGCTGTAGGAGGAAGCAGAAATGTTTAGACAAAAAAAGAAAGCTTCTAACGTTCACTAATATATGTGCGTTCTTTATTCAAGTCATAATAAATAAATGGACTTTTTACAGTTGTAAAATTAAAAAAAATATATATGCTAAGGTGACCTGTGCATATGTAGATGTGGATCCAGTCTAACTCTACCTGGTCATGGTAGTGAGCTGCATTGCTGCTGCCGCTGACCCCAGCGCAGGGAGCAGGCAGAGCACTGGGCCGTTCCACTGGGCAGCTGGGCTCTTGAAAGGGTAGAGTGCCGGGAGGCTGGGGTGCAGGGTGATGGATATGGTGGACAAAGTGGTGCGTGTTGCTGTGGCTGTGCTGAGAGCCACCGCCCCGCTGAGAGGATGACGCCTGCAAGCAGCTTGAATGGGAGAGGCTCAGAGACAGGTGAGCAGGGGCGGGGCCTCCGCAGGGGGAGTGCTGCTGACAGCAGGATGGGAGCCTGGGCATGGTTGTGCCCGAGTTTTCTCCTCCTGTACCTGACAAACCTGGTCTGTTGTCATCTGAATAGAGCAAAACACACAACTATTTAAATGCACAATGAAACAAAAACCTGCAGCAGCAGTGCGCTTCATGCCATCTTACCATCTGCAGTTGTGCAAGCAGAACCACTTGGCCTCTGTGCGTGCACACTTTCAGGTATTGAACCTGCGCAGCTAGTGGAAGGGCCCGGGGCATCATGGAGCTCAGAGGTAGAGGCATGATGGGAGGACGATGAAGATGACGACCTCACAGTCTGAGAGTGAATGCTGCTAGAAGTTGTTGGCACAACAGAGAGATCTAGAGAGTAAAAAAAAACTATTTAAAAAAAGTATAATAATGATAACTGTATCTAAAATGAAACTAAATATATTTTTAAAATGTACACTTTAAAAATAAATGAATCTAAAAAATCCTTTCAGCACTTAAGTTACTATCAGGAATGAAAATTACTTGCAAACTGTTTTCTAGAAAAACTTTTATATGACCTTCAAAACATTAAATTAACGTTCTGCTGCCTGTAAAGCAGTAATGTTAAAATGGACTGCATCATGTGTGCTCATCTGAACATGCTTAGTCATTGAGAAACAAGCCTCATTAGCGTTTGAGTGTGAGCAATCCATCTGTTTTTCATATTTACAAATTATTTTGGACCTGCCTCTCCTAAGATATGCAAATACTCAGAGCCCCGTTGAAAAACTTTCAGAAAACCTGAAGCAAAGTCAGTCGAGACCACTTCACAAAACGTTTAAGAAGTTTACTTTCTTTAAAGGAAAACGTATGAAGTGAGGGGTGACCTCAGACTTTGGCAGAGTTTTGTAAGGCGCACAACTGCTAGTCAATTTATACGTTCACAAACATTTAGTTGTTTGCTTAGAGAGCAAAATATTCATATAGCTATGAGGCTAACTAAAACTTCAGAGCAGTGATTAGGTAACCCACAAGCCCCTGATTTGGTTCATCGTTTCATTCTTGATCCATATTTACCGTCCTCATCGACAGTGAGATCCACCACCTCCCCAGCATTCTGACGCAGGGGTTGGATGACGGTGGAGAGTCTGTGACGTCCACGTGGCTCCTGGAGACGATTTTGGGAGCAACTACTGGCCCAAATCCTGCCAAGACCCCCCACTGAGCGTGACCTACAACCATAAAGACAAAAATAACACCCGTTACACAAAACTACGGCCCTGGACCGCCAGAATTACGCTCGCAGCTCGGAGAAACATTTGCTTAAACCGAAAACAGCAAAGAAATATATGACAGCAGCTGTTCTGGAAAATAAATACTGGTGCAAAGGTAAGTGAAAGAGTACTGGTGAGCAACTTAAAACATAGTTTAGATCAGTTCCTGTTGTAAAATGAGTAGATCCATTTACACTTTAGTTTGTGATAGAGCAACGAAGACCAAGTTTATGCAAAAAATCCAAAAGCTTGCACAAGAACATCAAAAAACTAATACAGATAATGAAAAAACCTGATAAAATCATTAAATATTTAGATTACTGCCTATCTTTTGCCAATAAAAACTAAAGAGGATGAAATCCCCCACACGATGTCTCATCAAGCAATCAAATAGCTCCACATCTACAACCAGTTCACTGATTAAATCACAATATTTCCATTATTTCCATTGACTACTGCTCTTCCTTTGGCCCGTTTCCCCTCTTTTTCTTTTTAATTTTCTCTCTCAAAGGCTCCCGTTGCTCTTCTTTTAGGCCTCTGAGACTGGAGCGAGAACCAAGGGAGCAGGCGCACGTCCCTCCACAGCGCTGCAATCAGAGGGAAGAGGAATGGCCCGAGAGACGAGGAATTGCTTGGGAGGGCCGTAGAGCGGGCTGCCATGGAGATTCTGAGCTCGGGGATTTGGGTGCAGTTAAACGAGAGCTCTTACAAATTACACAGCAGGAACGAGAGAAGGAAAACTGACGACATTTTTAGCTACAACTCCTTAGGACTACCTCACAGAAATATATCCAATAACTAAGTGCATTTTTATTGAATTTATATTCGTGTTATTTTTTCAGGTTTTCAACAAACGGATGCTTCAGGTAGGATGTTTATTAAAGCCGACTCTTACCACATGTTTCTTTGTATAAACCTCATAACAAGCACTCATTTAGACTTTTATTTAAAAAAAAACTATTTTTTAAACCAAAAATGCTATTACCAAAACTATATACTATAATATATATAATATTATATTTTAATGAGTTAGTATCATGTATGAAACAAGGCCTGATCAAGGCCAGAAGAATCATTAGGGCGCACCGATTTATCCTTAATTTTGGGGAATCAGCCGATACTTGCATGCGAAACCAATTTTACCATTTTTTTTAGTTTTAACAACAATTGTCTGAACTTCATTTATATTTCAGAGCGCTACCTCATGGCCAGTTAAAACAAGTTTGTATTGTTTCTAGGATATTGTTCAAGAGTATGTTTTGCAACAAAATAAGATTGGAAAATTGAAGGTGCGTTGTGACCTTATAACTCCCGACAGAGTCGCTTATGAAACAAAATCGGTATCGGCAGGTCAGACTTTTTAGAAATCTGTGATCGGCCAGAAAACTGCAATCGGTGCACCCCTAAAAACATTTATTTTTCCTCTTTTATTTTTGGGGGGGGATTCAGACTGAAGTTCCTTGTGGTGCTTAAAATGTCCTTGTTTACTGAAAAATACAGTGTTCACACCAAACACTGATTTCAGTTTGCTTTCTGCTGCTTACGCTGACATTCATATAATCTAAAACATATGCACAGTGTTAACATATTACAGCGTAACTTGGAAAAAAAAAAAGTTTGACGCAATCCTCACTGAGCACAATATTCAGTCAAGTGTTGTCTTTCACCGCATTCCCCAGATGTGCGTAATGCAGGAAATGCCTTTCTCAAGGCTGTTTACTATACAGGGGGATTCCCGTATGCTCAGTCTCCGTCCAATTAGTTTCCTTTGCGATGGTGCATGTGGAATAAAGAGGAAGCTTATTAACTTCCAAACTTCACAAAAAAATTAAACGGCAAACTCGAACCAAACATGCAAATGAGGGCACAAACACACTCTTGTTCCTCCACACAAAACACACAGCTGTGAGGGTGGTATGCAGAGAAAGAGGTTGGTGGTGGTGGTGGTGGTGGTGGTGGGGGGGTCTAATTGGCCTGCCTTGGTTGTTTTGGGCTGATCCCAAGGAGCAGGACTTGACACTGGGGAAGAGTTGTAAATTAGGCCGACCTGGGATTATTTTGTAAATATCTGTTTACCACTGTAACTCCCTGAGGGTATGAGGTGCCAGCAGAGAGGAAAACAGTACATTATAAATATGATCACTATGGGAATGGGTGGCTTGGCGATGATGAGGCTGTGCCAAGCCAAAACGATGTGAAAAACAAGCCCCTGGGACAGAAGGAGCGCTCAGAGCTGTGTACGGCGGTATAATGTGAAGTCAACTGCTGGGAAAGATGCTGGAGACAGCTAAGGCTGGGAGTTTGGGAGTTACAAGAGGCGAGGGCAGAAAACAGAGAGGCAGTAAACAATTTGTTGCATCAAGATGTCCACAAACAAAACGACACACGTTTTTCATCATAAGTAAGGATTTCTTTTCCTAGAATCTGCAAAACAAAATTATATTTAATTCTCAAATAAATAAATATATACAGTATATCTATATTATATCTGAGTGAATATTGAAATCATTTGATGATTTCATTGATTACATGACGGCACAATTTATATAAAGGTCTATTTATGTCATGCTACAACTTTGTTTCAACACATTGCTAAAAAGATAGAGAATTTTTTTTTTTACATTTTCACGTCCGACCCATTCACCTAAAAAATAAAAACTACACTTAATATTATGCACATATTTTTTTAAGGTGTTGATTTTGGTTGACTAGTGGTTCTTAAATTGTAGCTGTGTATTCAAATATGCCAGTTTCCCCCAAACATTTAATTAGTTATGCTTATTAGTTAGGCTTAAAGAAAAGTATCATGGTACACTGACTGTATCACAATTACCCAACAGTGCTGGTCAGCGTTTCTAAAAACAGTTCCCTACACAGTATGCGACATCAACAAGTACCCGGATGTCTGGCAAACAAAACATTGAGTACAATACAGTTCAGCACTATAGTTGTGGTTTGCGCCAATAATAAAAAAAACAGCAGAAAAATGGTATCTAAGAAACATTGTTGCTAAAGGACTTGCAATAGGTGACAGCAGATACGCAAACAAGCTTCATATGTAAGGTATTCGGTTCTTGCCGTTTCCAAAGCCGATTACTCAGGGAGAGAAATACGATCGTTGGATTCGACTCTGTGGCTGAGTTGGCTTTGACCGGACAAACGTGAACAAGAATACTTACATCAGTTCAAAACACTTCGTTGGACAGAACGGACCGACAGAGGAGCACCCCGATCCTAAACTAGCAACTGCAGTCCCATTACAGGTATGTCCACCCATCCTTTATGTTTTACCCACTTTTACCTTTCGTGTCAGAAACTAACAGGAGCGCTGAACGTCTTTTTTCAAACTGCCCGCGCTAATTTGTCTCTTTTTTCATTCAACCTTTATTTAGACAGGTTAATCCCATTGAGCCTCGAGGACTCATTTACGAGACCACTTCAGGTGCTTAACTCAGCTCCCGTTTAGAACATTTTCACTTTTGAAAAATAGAGTAAAAGAACTGATCGCTAACAGCTAAAGACTAACACTGGCTAACAAAGTAAAATAGAAGAGGCTGGCAAAACCATTTTTTATCCTGATGCTGAAAACCTGTGCAGTACATGGCGAATCAATGACATGCATCCTACACAGAATCTTTTGTCATCTGTGCTCTTTTCCACCAAGGCAACAGAGCACTTATCAGCGTGGAAACACCGGGAACATCACACGTAGACTATCGTTTTATCAACTGACCGGGTTGCCAGACGCTGCTGGTCCCCTGTATTGTAGAGTCTGCCTCAGTCTGCCAGCATTGACGTCCCTGTAGACACCTGCAATACGTTTGTCAGGCATTTTGTTGAAAAGGTCGAGTTGATTAGGTCATCAATTCCACACTCCACAGCTGACCCCTCTGTCTTTGTCCCCTGCTCAGTAGTCTTCAGTCAGTTTGAACTCATTTTTAAAGGATGTTGTTGGTCATATGAAACCCTCGGGCTCCCCTGCTGATCCCATCCCTGTAACGTTTTTTAAACAAGTTTTACCATCAGATAAACCCTCTAACCGCAGATAAACAGCAGTTTGGCTACAGGTGTGGTGCTTTTAAACATGAAGTGGTAACTCCATTAATTAAAAAAAACCTGGACTTGACCCTTCAACTTGTTCAAACTTCAGACCAATCTCAAAACTTTCCTTTCTTTCTAAAGTACTGGAGAAAATAGTTTTAAGTCAACTAGGCAAGTTTTTGAATGAAAACTGAATTTTTGAGATTTTTCAATCTGGTTTTAAACAATTACACAGCACGAAACAAACTTGCTAAGGGTCTATAATGACATTCTTCTAGCGAATGACTCTGGTCAGTTTGTGATCCTGGAACTCTTTGACCATCCCACTGCTTTCGATACTGTTGACAACAGTATCTTTATCGCGGTTAGACCACTGGGTTGGGATTACGGGTGCAGCGTTAGAATGGTTCAGTTCATATCTGAGTGACAAGAGTTTTTGTGTTAATGTTTGTAATTGTTTATCTGCTTCTGTGTCTCTTTCCTGCGGGGTCCCGCAAAGATCCATTCTTGGACCCCTTCTGTTTTCATTGCATCTGCTCCCCTTGGGGTCTATTCTGAGGAAACTGTCTTTCGTTTCATTGTTATGCTGATGATTCTTAGATTTATCTGCCCTCTAAATCTAACAGTTCCTGCTCCATTCGCCCTTTGCTAAAATGTCTTGATGACATCAAGACTTGGATGGCTATGAACTTCTTAAGTTTTAATGATCAAACGACTGAGGTCATTGTGTTTAACCCTAGCTCTGCCACTGTCTCTGATCCTGTAAACCTGAACTCCCTTCAGCCATATCTAAAGCACTCTGTTACCAATCTCAGAATCGTTTTAGACTCTGACTTTAAGTTTAATAAGCAGATCAACTCTGTTCTTCAAAAAAGCTTTCAGCTACGGCAGATAGCTAAGCTTAAGTAAGTGCTGACCAGATCCGAACTTGAAAAATTAGTCCATGCATTCGTTACAACCCGGCTGGACTACTGTAACTCGCTTCATGTTGGAGTCAGTCAGGCTTCCCTTTTGCGTCTCCAGCTCGTCCAAAATGCTGCAGCCTGGCTTTCAACAGGAACTCATGGGTTTGAGCACATTTCACCGGTTCTGTCCTCCCTTCAATGGCTTCCTGTGCATGTCAGAATTTATTTTAAAAATCTCCTGCTGACATTTAAGTGCATTAATGACCTTGCACCCTCATACCCCTCTGACCTTCTTCATCATTATGCTCCTTCTCGGGCTTTGAGATCATCTGACCAGCTGATTTTGGTTGCGCCAAAAAAACAGGTTGAAGTTCAGATCGAGCCTTTTCAGTCATGGGCCCTAAACTCTGGAACAATCTGCCCATCAATATTAGACAGGCCACTCTGCTTTTAAATCTCTCCTGAAAACACACATGTACTCATTGATATTTGACACAGGGTAATATGATTTAGTATTTCATTGTTTCTGATAAAGTTTTGTGTTTTTTATGTGTTTATTCCTGATGCTGTGATCTTTTTGTTAAGCACTTTGGTAACAGTTCCTGTTTTAAATGTGCTATAAATCTGAATTGACTAGACAGAACTTGAGTTGTGCATTTTTGTATCCTTCAATATATTCCAAGTCAATTTTGGTCCCAGTACCGTTGTCTTCATTTAAGTTTACATGAACAAAAGCATTGAAGGTAGCCATCTTGCATGCGTTCTGCTGCGTTGTTTGCCCAGGCCTTTGGGGATTTCCTACAATTCTCATGATGTCATCCCTGATTAACGCCATTGGGAGGGTGTATAGGCGGGGTTTTCAGATAAAGTGTGTAGCCCCATGCCCCTGGAGCAGTTACTGCCTCAATAATACAACATGGCAGCACCCAAAAACAAAACATACATTTTGCCTTTGAACAATGGGAGAAGGCAAAGGCGTTTCATCCACTTGTATTAAAGTTGATGGTTCCTACCTGAATCCATCTCCGACTGTGACAATCTCCACCTCACTGTCCGTTGAAGTGACATTTATCTCCTCACTTGCAGGAACAACAGGTACTGGTGCCGGAGACGTCTCGATCACAACCACGTCCTCATCCAAAGCACCTGAACACACCACTGGAAGTTATAAATCACTAAAACATCAATTCTGAAGGGCAACTGTTTCACAGAGCACTTATTTAGCATCACCAAAGGTCTAGAAAGTGCTCTCTTGCACAAAGTTTTGTAGACAAACAAATGAGTCTTTCATCAAAGAAAAGTACAGAACTGAATAAAATGATTCAGCGGGAACAATCCACCTCAATCCTAACTGATGTGGTGCAGTTTCCAACACGTTTTGTGGTTGTGGGAAAGATTTTTCCCTTTTTCACCGAGTCAAATTATTGAATAAAACAAACGGGACAATCTGTTAGATTGAGTAAAATTCATAGTTAAAGAACAGTTAAAACTTGCAAGGATAGTAGGTGGACTTGCATACACTTTTAAGCTTTGTATACTTTTACGGACATGTAAGATAAGTAAACCTGGCAGCAGTCACAGTTGTCATAGGTCTTAATCTGTACAGTTGCACACCTGTTTCTAATTATTGCCACAATATCTCAGTGTAATCAAGACTTGCCGACTCATTGAGCCAAAGAGCCCATGCAAATTGTGCTTTCTGCATAAATCTCCTGTTCTTTATTGTTGTCGTCTACCATATTACTGTCATCCTACATTCTGAAAGAAATGACACTGAGGGATGTCTGTGAGTTGTACTACCTGGTGAAGTGAGAAAACACTTTGCACATGCAACAACTTTTAATACTGCTTTTTTTAATCTAGGACAAAGCGTAGCTACAACTAGAAATAGCTAATACTTTCATTATACTGTTTTCTAGCATGGTCTGTGCGCACATTGGGAGCTTTGTTTTTGTGCACATAACTAGGTGAACTGCTCATGAAGTCCATGTTTCTCCTCTGTGACTTTTCCAACTCTCTCATGGGAACTGCTGCTTAGCACCCTCCACAAGTCTAGCTGCCTGGCACTTCACACACCAGCACAAACCCCATCAAGCTGGTAGAGAACTGTAACCAATGTACGCCCTGTTGGAGTAAACGACGCATACACACTATTCTGAACACAACTACATACCGAGCAACAGAAAATACAAAACTGTCACATGTGATAACTGCAGGCATTCCAAACGTGCAACCACGTGATCAGTTTGTTTTTTTTCTTTTGTCTACATAAAATAAAATGTATGCTTGAGATAGAATTGCTTTTGATGATGGCAACGTTTTATTGTGACAAAAACATAAAATAAGTATTTTTTTTAATACTCTTACAGAATGAGTCAAATCCCTACAAGTTATTATATTTCAGCTTAAATATTTAATGAAAATGTCCCATCCCGTTAGGGTGAAATGCTTCCTGACACACCCACTCAGGTACTGGGCATCCAGAAGGCAGGTTTCATCACTAGCTTCGCTGCC